CCCCAAAACCCCAAAACCCCAGCTGTCTAATTGGTGCTGAATATATGGATAGTTATTTCAACTAATATTTCCACTCTTTATAAATTTACTTAACAAGCTTATATATATATATGATTCAAGGAAGCATTGTTGGGATATAACCTCAACCTTATAATTATATTCCAAACTAGCAATACATTGTGAGCACAAATCAGCAATACTACATTAACGGCTATCCGTAGCAAACTTACTCCAGCATTCAACCACAACCTTTATATCAGATTGTCTAATTATAACCTTAAAATCAAATGCATCACAACTAAATTCCGATCATAAAATCTGAAAATTAGAATATTAAGATTCTCGGAAAAGATTAATCAACTTAAACCTACTAATAACCATGTTCGTGTGCATGTAGGTCATAGAGAGAGCAGCTGAATGTTATAAAAATAAATCCTATCTTAGAGTCTCCTCAATGTATGTTAGGTAGTTATAAAAACTTAATGGAGGCTTAAATCGATATCTGAGAAAAGTCAAAAAGTATACAATCAGAGGGAACATTCGGTTAAATTGGAGTTTAACTCCTTGAAGATAAAGAATTAGAATAAGAAATAAAAAGAAGATTGAACTTAGAACAGAAAGCAAAGATTATCTATGAAAGGGGTCCTGAAATTGATAGAATGTAAATTCCTTAATATACGTATGTTCCATCCCTTAAGACATTTGTTTACGTTAAAGTGTATAATCCAGAATCTAAAAGATGGTCATCATAATTCATGTGCGAATTCAAAAATTGTATGATGAATTTTAAAAAATGGAATAATTTATTTGATCACCTCAGAGCTCACTGTGATGAGAGGCCTTACCATTGTCCGGTAGATGGATGCAGCAAATAATTCACATAAAAAAGCAATTTAGAAAAACATATGAAAATCCACAAAAATAAGTGCTACCTTAGATGCTCAGTTTGTAAAAGGCTTTTTACTAAGAACAAGATTATTGATCACTTTTAAGTGCATGAAAATCTTGGAGATATTGATGATTCTTAAATTCAGGCCATTGATACCTAATTTGAAATGCTTAATAATTAAAATTCAGACGAGGTGCCGAATTAGAATTAGTGATAATTGTAATAAACTTAAAAATTTCAATATACTAATATATTTATATATCTAAATATAAAATTATATGCCTGTGTTGATATCCGATTTGCATTACACATATTATTTAAATACTTCAGTCCTTTAAAAATCATTAGAATTAGACTCATGGGGTTTTGGGGTTTTGGGGAGATCG